TTCATGGATTAAAAAGTTCCAACCAAAACACCTACTGGTTATGGTCGTCTGCCTCTTGGTGTTTATTCCTCTGTGGCACTGGTTGTGCCCAGTGGTGGTTACATGCTGCCTCCTCTTTTAGCTTCAGAGCTGATGTGTCAAGGCTCCGCTTACTTTACCCGACTTGAGCTACATTGCTCATGTGCATCAGGTGAACATCTGGCTCCTGGCTGATGGTGCTGTTCTTCTATACTTGTCCTAATCTCTTGTACCACGATAGCTGTGTCTTATTGTTGGATGAAGCCTTTTCTTGTGGCGGTGTGCAGCTCTCCATCTCGTGGGAGTTATGTTTATCCAGGCTTTGAGTCAAATCCATATATAAATATGTCTGAAGCCCTTTGGGATGAGAAAGGCTTAAAATATTAACACTAATTAATGGCTCCTTCTCTGGCTGGGTGTAAACAGTGAGTCATGTGCCACTTATGGTTTTGCATGTTTAGTCCTATTTCTGTGTACTTGCGGAATGCCTGCTTGCAGATTTGTTTTATTGAGTAAACATGGATCCCAGCAAAGCCCCGAGGCTTCATCAAATGAAAAATGGAGGGAGGAGGGAAAGAAAAGATGTTATGTGTTGCCCAAGGTCATGCAGTGAGTCACTGGGAAAGCTGGTTAGGTGCTGGGTGTTTCTGGCTCCCTGTTCATTGTGCTGCAAGGCATGCTCATTTGCCTGGGATTTTAATTAACTGTTGTGGCAAATCTATAGTTAACCAAAGAGAATCACGAGTTGCAACAGTAGTTACGTCATCCTGATGACCATCGATGTTATGTAAAAATTGAAGAGTGCCCCTTTATAGTTACTAAGGGCCCTAGACCCAAGCACTTACACTTGGTCTACAAGGACTGCCTTAACATCCTAGGCAAGAGCTTGCCAGTGGAAGGGTGTGCGGGCACAGGCAGGGTGTCCTGATACGATTCTGGTTACAACCGCTGCTATACGTGCTTGCCCTGCATTTCCAGCGCTCCTCTTGCGGACTGCAGAAGGACATACATCCAACTCAAGCACTTGATGCCCGGGGATTTTGATTGGTTTTATACTGATTTCCCTTCAAAACCACCTCTACAATTTAAATAAATACTGTGGGGGTTTTGACAGTGGAAAGTTTAGTTCTGAATGTAGCGATGTTATTTTTAAGCTTTTCTAGAGAGAAAACCCAAAATTTAAAGCCAATACAATGCATATATTCATCATAACCAATTCTTCATGGCATTTACTTGTAGAGGCACTAATGAGAGTATTTACGTGCAGTGCTGTTAGTGTGCTCTGCACCACACTGCGAAATCATAAGGAATACCATTTCAAGTAGTACGCAGGCCCGCTGATATTCATTTACCGTGTAGACTCCCAGACCTTGGAGCTCTTTTTTCAACTGTGCTCAGCATCCTTCTCGTTCTTTAAGTGTGATAGATGCCCATGTGGGTGGTCCTCCCATCCCCTCCTCATGGCATGGGGCTATGTAACAGGTGAAAATTAATTCTCTGGGTTAACAGAATATGACAAATCAAATGCATTAGTTACATTTGTAGTTATCTTGAGATAGTGTATTTTTGCATAAGGCTATATCTCTTCTAGAAATGTACTGCATACAGAACACATTTTCCAAAGCTCTGTTTCATAATATGTGCAGAGCAAGGCGATTTTTGCAACTGATTTTTGTTCCTAGCAAAGGAAAGGTTAGCCAAACTCTTTCCAGAAGGCGTGTTGAATCACACGGGTGACCCACAGCCAATCCATACAGCGTTAGACTTTGAACTGAAGCCTAGCTAGTATAGGCACAGGCTTGAAAACTCAGCACAATCAAAAGTAATTGTATTAGTCAGAGATTGTTCATGTTTTTTCTTTTTGCTGCCAAATGCGATTTTGGCTTCATGACTGTTTTTATAACTCAGGAACGTTGTATAAATCTTTAACTTTGTACACAACCAATCTTTTTTTGCTATTAGCGAAGAAAAAAAAAAAGATTTCTGTTTTCTTTTGCTTGTCTGTGTTTCATATGCTGATAAATGTCCTCTCTCTAGAAAGTATCTGTTTTCGGTGCACTGGGATACAAACAAAACCCACTTTTTGTGTTGTTTTTTTTTGTTTGTTTTTTTTGTTTTGTTTTTAAATAAGGAAAAGCAGTACCAAAAAGAGATGCTCTTCTTGACCAACGACATCTTGCAAACACGTGTTACGTAAGCTTAATAGCATCTGGCAAGAGAAGGAAGGGCCAGGGTGCTCCTTCTATCCAAACAATACCCATATGGGGCTGTTTGTGTTGCATATACTGCGTGCTTCCCAGCACAGCTAATCGTAGCTGCCTCTTCCGTGCTGTCCCGCAGAGGTCCCTTGGAGTCAGGGCTGTGGTCTGAGATTATGAACTGCTCAGCAGTGTTGCCTTGGGATGTCGCTGCTTGTCTGCCGTGCTGCAAACACGATGGGGAGACTGGGTATCGCCGTTGAATCCTTTTCAGAATTAAACCACAGCCTTGGTTGAGTTTATCTATGGCTGTGGCACTGATAGGGACCATGGGTAATTATTATTTAATGGCGGGGCATTGCTGGTTGTGAAAACTTTCCTCTGAAAGATAGAAAGGGAAATGTTTTTCTCCTCACTGTGTTGCCTATTCTGTTGCTCTTCCAACTGATTCTGTTTAACAAGCAGTTGGTTAATTATTTTCTTGCTGTCTGGATAAGTTTCCATCGAGCATCTTATCCTGTCTCGGATTTGGCAATGAGTTTTATTGAAACAATCTGTTCATCTGAGTAAAATTTTACTGGTGGAACTGTAACAAAGTTGGATAAAGGATACACAGGGCCAGGCTTGTTAAATATTAAAACCATAACTTCTGTATTTGCAGCAGCATATAAGACTGATGCCTTTATTTTTTACTTTCTACTTTACAGACATTGTGTATCTCCTAGGACATTTGATATAAAACTGTAGGTGAAAAACACAAAGTGATGGGCATTTGGGTTAGTGGTTTTTTGTCCCTAAGGGTGACTTACCAATACAGACTTTCAAACTACTGGTGACAAAAGACATCTAAAGAGCTAGCTTTCAATTTCCAATTTAAACACGTAATATTTTCCCTTTTTGCCAAAATTTACTAATGATTCACCTCTATTAACTTCTGAAATAAAATTATCACTAACTTGGGAATCTGTACGAATAACCAGGGCATACTAAATATTACCTTGTTTCTTTGCTATGTGAGCACACAGTGTGTACCTCTTGGGATCCCATCAAGTATAGGTGCATAAATCTGTGCGCTTTGGAACAGGTATGGGATGAAAAAGGCACCTTATGGAAGTTTTCTGGAAGTGATGAATTACAAGAAGGGGTATTAAGCCAATATGTACCTCCATTTTAGGGACATAGCTCAAGAATACCTCGAAGGTACCCTGGTTTTTAATAAAGTGACTATGTTACCTGCTCCTTGGAAACTGGTTTAAGTTAATCTCTAGGTGGGGCTTCCACTGCGTCTAGAATCACTGGCTTGTTTTGAAAGTCTATACTAACACCTTTTTCCTTTCGGGGACGGGTTTGCTGAGCAAAGGAAAGAATTTTGAAGTGGGGCAAGCTTGGAGGAAAGCTATGTTAAAGTTAGGTTTGCCAAGCAAAAGATGCATCCCTTCAGACTTTCTCTATTTTGATTTCAGGTTCAGTAGCCTCCTAATCCTCCAAATCCTTAAGTCGAAACCTGGATTTGTACATGTCGAGGTCCATTGATGCTAATAGAAGTAGTCTAATGACACGATTAAATATGTAGTTAAATACCTGGGAAGGGTCAGGATCATTTGGACAACAGATTAAACATAAAAGGAGTAAAAAAACATGTAACATCACTGAAAGGGTAAAGACTGGTTTTTAAAAATGCAAAGCAAAGTAGAAATGGAGCTCAATGTGTGTTTTACAGGCAGGTGATAAATAAAGGCAAAGTATTTATTTGAAATATAATGTTTCAGAACCCCTTTCTTAATTACTTGGTGAGTAGGAGGCCTTAAGAGCTTCCCAGCTGTTTTCTGATTGCTGCGGGGGGGGTTATTGGTCCAGTTTGAATCATTTGTTTTCCAGTTTGAATCATCTGTTATCCAGCCAGTTCAGTTCCTGTGCAGATACAACGTGTCATGGAGAAACCATACTCAGTTCCCTTGATGCGTTGCATTAGCAAGCGTGTGTAGATCCAACCTTCCCTCCCCCCCCCCCCCCCCTTTTTTTTTAATTGCTGTAAATTGCAGTGATCTCTATTGATGATGGATTTTAAGAATGTTTTGTGTCTTAGTGGGAATGTCTTCAATAACATGATAGTTAATATGTATAGAGATAAGATCTTGAAAAGAAAATATAATGGTAACCCCTACTGTTACAACAGAAAAATCCCATAAAGTCTTTAAATCTTAACATCTTCAGAAGAAGACATCAGTGTATGTAGGCGATGTAATTATTTAGAAGAGAGAATCCATTGAAAATAAAAGAAGGTGAAACATTAGCTGGTGTCTTATGAGAATATAAAATGCTTTTAACTATACATATGCATGTTTGATACACTTCATCTGTTGCTTTCATGACTCTTTAGTGTTCGCTCTTAAACAATATATTTTTTTACTTCAGCAGCTGCTGGCTGATTATTTCAAGAAGCTGTTGGAAACAACTCATTCCTAGTATCATCAGATGTTTGCTTTGTACAACAGAGCATAAATATTCCTTTGGTCTTTTAATTGTTTTTGATTTAATGGGTACCTGTTGTGGAAAAAGTACTCCTACAGTCTAAAAAGCCCGCTCTTTAGAGCAGTTCATTGAGATGTTTCTGTACAGAGCCACATGAAATAATCAAAGAAAATGGAGTGAGCAAAATCCCCAAGGGATAAAAACCTCTCTTTTTTTCCTCTGCTCTATTAATGTATTCTTGTTTCTGTAGAATTTGTTCTAGTAGTGTCCTAACAACATTTGAATTTTTTTTTATTTTATTTTTATTTGTAGGGTAAATTGCCAGTTCTTCTGCTTGGTCAGTCTGCAGACTTGAGGCCAGGAGAATTTGTGGTTGCGATTGGAAGTCCATTTTCTCTTCAAAACACAGTGACTACGGGGATCGTCAGTACCACTCAGCGTGGAGGGAAGGAGCTGGGGCTCCGCAACTCCGATATGGACTATATTCAGACCGACGCCATCATCAACGTATGTCCTGCTCTGAGCCTCATCCCCTGCAGCCCTTAAATTTCTTGAATAGTTGCTTTGAAAATTTCGCCAGTGATATAGTTCTTAAGAACAGTGAGCGTAGTTGGCTTTTCTTTTATCCATGTAAATATGGACATCTGCGCTGCAGCAGCACTTGATTGTTATTTAAAAATCCCCCAAGGAACCACACCAAGTACAATATCTGCCTTCACTTCAGAATTTTTACAGATTACAAGGGAGGAGGCAATATTCTTTGGCAAATAAGTATCTTTTCGAAATCCCTCATGTTTTCTAAAAAAGAAGCCAAGCTTAGTTTAAGGACTCAAGTTTGTTTCTGTATTAAGGCAAAACAATAGTTCTTGTACTTCTACTGTTGGCCTTGTAAGAAATCTTCACTAACAGCTCCCAGAGCTGTCCTGAAATCTTAAGTTGCTAGTGTGGTACTATTAAAACAAAAGAAAAACCTTGGCTTTCTTAACTTACTCTGGCAAGAGAAGAAGGACTAAGTGTTTGCAAAGCTCAGCTAAAAGGGATGATGTTAAGACTGTTCTATTGCACATATTTAGTAGACAATGAAAAAATTACTACAGAAATATCTCAAAAATTTCTTTCATGTTTCGCTTGCCATGAATTAAGAGGTAGATACTAAAACATGTTCTTGCCATATGTTTATTTTCAGTATGGAAACTCCGGAGGACCCCTAGTAAATCTGGTAAGAGTTTCTTTAAGTTTGTTTGCTTAGTGTTAAGCTTTTTAGTTTCTACTTTTTAGTTTAAAAACAAAACCAAAAAACCCCAAACAAACAAACAAAACCCCGCACCAGAAGTGTGATTCAGAGCATTTGATATCTGGCTGACTACACCAAATTCCCATGGTTCTTACTAATCACTTGTCTGTGTTTATGCTGGCAAATCACAAGATACGCTTGGATTTCAATATTTAAGGTGTTTACGGTTTGCATAGTTTCGAGCAAGTGTAATGCACAATTTTTTTTTTGCCCATGCCTTACAAAAAGTAAAAAGCACATTTTTAAAGTTGAGGCATTTGCACTCACTGTATACCATGCAGCTGGCACTTTTTTTTTGCCTACTGAAACTCAGATTAACAATTCAAAAACATATCTACCCCTTTATTTTGAATCACACTGAGGCGGTTGAAAAACCCATGTATTTATCAGGATACCAGGGTTTATTTGCTGATACTGTAGAACATAGCCAGAGCTGACCTTGCCGCGGCTGCGGATAAGCCCAAGAGAGAACAACTGAAGCAGGCTGCAAAACCCAACTGCTGCCTGAGAGCTCTCAGGTGTGGGTACGTGGGGTTGAATGGAGGAGAGGCAGTGGTCCTCAACGAGGGATGGCACAAGTTAGAAGAAAGAGCTAGTCAGAGTTTCTGCCTTGGAGATTTGGCAATTTTTTTTCACCCAACTTGCAGTACAATTTCAGTGCCAGTAACCTCTATTTTAAAATTCGTAGTTAGGTAGTTTTTATCTGGGATAGATCAGGGAAGGAAGCTGCTGAGATTTCAGAATCATCAGGTGTCACCAGAGATGTTTAATCTGAAATTCTCACTTGGAGTCACATTACTGGGAAAAGCTTTTGATTTTGGTGAACTGTCTTTTTTCTTTATATTATTATGCGAGATTTGCTCAGCACCTGGCCTGCCGGTCGGTGCCATGCTTCGTGAGGTGCCTGCCGAAATAAACAGACCAAAATTGGCTGTGGAATATGCTGCAAGCTGGAGAGCTGCCCAATTCTGACCTCTCTTCTGCTAATGGCGATACGAACATCGACATTGTTTTCCAAAATTGTAGAACAGTTTTTTATCTATAGATGATTCAGAGAAATTAGACTTAAAGAAACCGTTTAGAAAATTGAAAAACAGCTACGGAGTATGGTATGTGAATTTGTCTTTGTGATTGCTTGGAAGAAATAATCCATTTCTCTTCAAGATGTTTCACATTTGCTAATAAAAATTTCTTATTTCTCCAGGATGGTGAAGTCATTGGAATTAACACATTAAAAGTTACAGCAGGGATCTCGTTTGCTATCCCATCGGATAAAATCAAAAAGTTCCTGACTGAATCCCATGACAGACAAGCTAAAGGTACTGTACTTCACCACTTTGGAAGAGAAAAATATGAAAATAGTAATAAAACAGAAAGTCAACAGCTGTTGAGGCTCTCTTTTTGGAATTGATCAAGCCATTGATCAAGACCTGTTTTCCTTTTTGTAGGAAAAGCTATAACCAAAAAGAAATACATTGGCATTCGAATGATGTCTCTAACTCCTAGGTAAGTAAAAGTGGTGGATCCTCACCTTCCCGAAGTGTGGGCACTGCATGCATTTGGACCAAGCTCATGATCAGCAGAAACAACCAGGAGGTTCGAACCAGCAGCGTGTGCGTCTCTAGGTGCTGGTGACAACGTCGCAGCCAGTTTTTGCTACCTTTTTCTCTGCATCTGCTGCATGGCTGAACTCTCCTGTAGACTCTATGAGCTAGTTTTTAAACAACTCCCTGGCTTTTTCTTTTCCTTAATGCTTCAGAAGAGAATAGTTAGTGATCGGGAATTGGTCCCGGGGCTCTATTAGCATTGTTACTATCAGTCCCGTGCTGTCATGAAAGTCGAGGAGAAAACAGGACAGTATGTTTTCAAGACTTAGAGCAGCTACATGCATATTTCCATTTATACAAAATTATATTCATTAAACAATTCACTTAATGTAAAATGAAGCTTTTGTGTGGACTTGCTTATTCATACTCAAACCAGAAGAGGCTCATGAGCAGGTGATATTGCGTCCTGTGGAAATACCTAGAAGTTTTTACGTGTGCAGGTGCTCGATCAGAGGTATAACCAAGCATTGAAAACTGAAGGGTTTTTTTTTAGGAGCTCAGGATCTTCTGGTTCTAAAATAACGACCAAGTTTTGAAATGTTTTCTCAGATCCTCTGTATCTATTGAAATGATTGTCTTTACCAGAAATAGGCATTAAAAAGCTGTATGCATGCAAAAACGGTCATAATTCTTGGAATACTTTTAAGGGTTAATGAATTGTGAAGTGTCACATCCACATGTGTAAAATACCTCAGCTAGTGAATGTTAAGTGAGTTAACTAAGTAAAAATGCATGATTTCTTTTTTCCCATCTTGTCAAAATATTTTTGTTGCTGTTTCTTCATTTTCCAGCAAAGCTAGAGAGCTGAAGGATCGCCATAAAGACTTTCCTGATGTTGTCTCTGGGGCCTATGTTATTGAAGTGATTCCAGAAACACCAGCTGAAGCGTAAGTTGAACTACTTTTTTCTCAAAACCACTGCCACTGACTTAAGGGGGTAAGGACGGAGTATGTTCCCTGCTTAACTGGCTATCTTGATTATGCTAAATTAACAAAATTACAACCATCTGATAGCTATTAGGTTGTCTGCTGGATATTGGTTTGTGGTTTCAGTCCAGTCCCCAATGGGCAATATTGTGAATGTATCCGTGTATTGCAGCGAAGCACTGTCAGCGTTCCCGGCCGAAAGGGCAAGGATTCAGTGGGTGTGAAAACTCAATTTTTATTTTTCTCAGCGATTGCTTCCAAGACATCTGTTGTACCGATGCCAGTGCTGAATAAAGATGTTTGCTTGTGCATGCTCCCCACAGCCCTGCTGGTCACTCCTGTAGGAGAGCGAGAGAGAAGCTTTGCTTGGATGGACATGTCCATCTCAGCCCAGGCACCTCAGTGTTGGGCAAACCCACCAGCTCTCCTGGCATGCCTCCACTGGGGGAGAAATCCTCTCTTGGCACGAGATACTCTTCCACGTGAGAGCTTTGTCAGGAGTCACATTACGGGGAAGGGCTTTTGGGTCTGGCCTACTGGTCTTTTTTTCATGTTATTCAGTATTTGCTCAGAACCTCACCTGGTACCATGCTTCACGAGATGCCTGGCTGAAGTACAGCATCTGGTCTGTGGTCACTGGCAATGGTCTGGCTGGCTCTTGCTGGAGACGCTTCCCCTTCAGAGTTTGGTTAATACAAAACTGCTTAGTAATCCGGGGTAGGAAATAGGAAACTTTATTCATTTTCTGCAACTAGAGATCATTTAAGAGAAGAGTAAATCTTTGTGGCAAGAAAGAGGCGTATGTAGCACCAAAGGCATGTAGGCAGAAAGCTTCTTGGAGCAGGCATATGTTATCTCTTAGGGAGACTGCGAGGATGGTTGGATGATATTTTTTTGTTACAGTTTGGATGCCAATGTAAGGCGTACAGTGTTAGCTGTCTGGCTTGCTTTCTAAATTATTGCTGCTTTATGTAGATAATTCTTGTTGGCAGCGCCGTTCGTGCAGAATACTGGTGTAAGTCTGTAATGTGAAATTAAACTGCAGTTAGCATAGGAATAATGTGGCTGCTCCATTGTGGCACTGAACTTACTGCATTGGCATGCAGGTCCAATCTGAAGGTGCAGAAAAATCATTATAGGAGTACAGATAATAGCAGAGAGTGGGAGAAGGACATTAGAGAGAGGTAGAAGAAATGTGAGGAAATGTAGCCTCGTAACTTGAAGGCAAACTCAAATCAGGACACTTCATCCGAAGGCTGGCCTGGCAATTAAATTGCAGCCCATGTTTGCTCTGTCTCCCCACTCCTAGTCCCCTTGCCTATGGATTTGCCCATTCTGCTGCTTTCCTCTCCAGTGGACGTTGTGTAGCCCTGCTGGGTAGGGGATGAGAGCAGTTCTGCAGCGACCCGTCCTGGGTATGAGTCGAGAGGACAGGCTGCATGAGAGACCAAGATAATCTGGAATGGTTTGTCCCATAGAAATGTTTTAAGCCATGCCTTCAGTAGGCAACCAGATTTGTTGCAAGCGTTGGCAAGGCATCGTGCTTGCAGGAGACACTCATGTAAGACTTTTCTGCGGGCGGAAGAGGCTGATGACTGCTCTGTGGTTTTGTGAAGAAGGATTATGCTGAAGGGCTGAATCATGTCTGATCTGGTTACTTGGTTAACATTTCCATAACTTGGAGCCAGATCGTTGTGCAAGACAGGGCAAGATGTTGTGGTCGATGGCATCCCTCACCACCCCATTTCTCCCCGTCCCGGCAGCAGTCTCAGGCAGCTGGGCGAGAGACCCGGGCCCCATCTTGCTTTGAGTCGGGAGGGTTTTGTTTTCGGTTTGCGTATGGTGCTGAGGTCAGGAGAAGGGATTCTGAGGGCTTACGGGCAGGTGGGCAAGGGGACGGACACGCATGCGTTCTTGGTGACGGGGCTAGATCGCTGCGTGCGTTATTCTGCTTAAGGTTAAAACGCAAAGGTAAGGTGAAGTGGCTGCCAATAAGCTATGCATGGAGAACAGCATGGGTCTGGGACTGAAACTTCTCATATGTTAACACACAGTGCCACTCAGATTGCTTTGCTATGTATACATGAATAAAAGCTTGGAAAATTTCCCCTCTAAAATGAATGCCTTGTTGCGGTTATTTTAAAAGAAAAATATGCCTCTGTCTCTTCTACCAAACCAGCATCTAGGATCCTTATTGCAGAATTACTGCGCTATTTGCAATAGTGAATTCCTTCAGAGACAGTGAAATATGGGATTCATCAAACTTGTACCTCCATCCAATTTCTGAGGTTTCTGCATTGTATTGTAATCTTCACCGCTTCATAAATTCTGATTGCTTTTTGCATGCCCGCTGTGTCTCTGTGCAACTGCCTTTGGGTGGGACATAAGAAAAATCCAGCAATCTTGTTTTTTAAACAATATTGTAATGACGATAAAATGGCAATTATAATAATACATTGCTGCTTTGTGTTTTCAGTGGTGGCCTGAAGGACAACGATGTGATTATAAGCATCAATGGACAGTCGATAAGTTCAGCCAGTGATGTCAGTGACATTATTAAAAAGGACAGTACGTTGAACATGGTTGTACGCAGGGGCAACGAAGATGTTATGTTAACAGTAGTTCCTGAAGAAATCGATCCCTAACTAGAAACATGAGCTGGATTTCATGTTTTCTTTTAACAGCGTTGGACTGCTTCTGTTCTCTCTGTGCTGGTACAGGAAACATTAGACTTCTGACCAACATTCTGCTTGTTCAGTGGATTAGTATTGGCCAACAGAGTAACTTCTAATAGGTTTAAGGTGCAAAATCGTGTAATTTCACATACTCCAGATGATAATTTTTTTCCTTCTGTATTATGTATGCAATGTATTCTTTACTGGCTGTTACATTCCCCGCTTAACAAATCGACGTTTGCTTCCCTGTGTTGAATAGAGTTACCATTATTTCCGCTAAGATTTAAACAAAACCCACGCACACAATGTGTGTTGTGGTATTCAGGTATTTATAGGTTAGCTGTGTTTTAACTGGAAATACCATTGTAAAGGAGTAGTTGGTTTAAAAGAAAACACAATTTGGAAAAAGAGTTTGGTTTATAAACACAAAGAAATCCCAGCCAAAATAACCTTTTGAGGATCCCACGCAGGATTTTAATACTATGATATTTTCCTAGTGTTATTAAAAGAATTCAACACTTCTTTTTGTGAGTGATTCATTTGGCTTCCCCTTGTCGAGTGTTTTTCTTTGAACAGCACATCTGCCTGAAAGGATGTCCCGATGATCTCGAAACACTTATTTTTCAGTATGTGCTTATATTTGCGCTTTTGTGCATCTGCTTTTCTTAGCATGGCTGGCTCGAATTTGTCATATTGGCTGCCGCAGATTGCCTGTCTTCCAGATGTTAATATGTTTTCCTTATTGTTTTAATTACAACATCATTAATGCCTGAAATCTGTTTGCCCGCTGTAGAAATTGTCATACAGTGGATCACAGATCCTACACCATTCTAGTTCACATATTAGGATGTTTGTAACCGTTGTAGACCTGGCCTTAAGCTCTTTCAAATAGGTTGTTCTATTCACAATCCTGAGTGCTGGTGTGTGTATAATAGGACCTGGTTTTGACTAGGATATTGAGCATTCCTCTAACATAGAGACTAATCTTTATACATATATTTATGGATGCCCTTGAAGCTTGGATAGTGAATGGGATTGTCTTACTGTGAGGGAGAACAATCAACCAAATTTAATTACAGTGTAATTACTCATTGGGTGAACAATAGGCTAAGCAGCTTTTCCTTTCCTCTGTTGAAATAGGTATCTCAGAGAATAAATCCGAGGGCTGTGGACAAATTTTCATGACTGTCATTCCTAAACATGCTCTTTTGCAAAACTGCTTCTTAGTAAAGTTCTTCAACTGGGAAACTGGCAGTTTATGATTTTTAAAGACAGGGCTGTATTCCATGCAATTACAGCAAGAAATCCTCTAGACCCGGATCCCTGACAGTGCTCCTTCTCCCACCAGCTGTATTTCAGTTCTGTTTCAGGCAGGTTATCCCAGTTTGGGGAGCCTCTGTATCCCCAGGCACCAGTGCCTGCCCCTTATTCACCTGGAATCACTATAAATTTACACAGTCATGCAGTGTGTTGACACTTGACATGACTGAATGCCTCATTACTGATTTACCTGTTACGTCGCTGTGGTAAATCACGCGTCTGAAAATCTGCCAAGATATTATGGTGCCAAGCGCTGAAGGTCTATGGTACTTTCTAGCATGAAAGATGCAAAGTAGAATGATCTTGTGGAGTTGCCTTGTAGTATATTTGCATTGCAAGTTCATCTTACCGATGTTGGTTAATGTTTCAGCTTCCTGTTGAAGTGGTATGATATTTTGCAGACCATCCGCGCCCTGTGTAGTGCATGGTGTGGTGACATACAGCTCTTGGCAAAAACGAATTAAAAAATCCCACCCACCTTCTCCACTTCTGTACCTAACCCAACTAGCAAAAATTAAACTAAAGGCCCAAAGCCAGGGAATTGTGTTTAAAAACTTTAAAAAGAAGTTATTTTTCATCTGCCTTTTTATTTCAAAACAAGTAGTTGCATAATTTACAGAGCTGGTTGATTCTCTTTGTTCCTGTTGGTTGTTGTTGTGGTCTCTTAATATGCAAACCCATTAATTTTTTTTGCTTAGTTTCTAGCTAGCCACTTTGGGCTTAGCAGTGATGTCCCTAGCACAGCACGTCTTTGCGCCTGTGCGTTACATAGCTGCTGCTGTGAGGCATAAATGCCACAGGACAACGGCTCAGGTTTGCATGTGCAATAGGAAAGGGGCAAATGAACTTGACTTCTGTAAATGGTTTTCCTTCGCCACTGGCTTAGTGAAATATTTGACCAGATTTCTAGGCTGAGTAGTCAAGGCCCTAGCTCCATCTAGTGGGATGCGAGATGGTTTCTTATTGCAGTCAGTCATTTTCCATTGTATATTTGAAAGTAGTTTTCTGATTTATCTTTTTTTTATTATTTATAATTAATTTCTTTGTGTCAGATATCCAGAACCACATGCTTATCCTGAAAAATATTTAGAATTTACTCTTCTAGTATCCAACCATGTTTGCAGCTACCCAGATGGTTTCTTACAACCAAAGTTGTCTCTAAACGTTTTTTAAGTATTTAAAATAAGATTACTGACAAGCAGAGGCACAGAAGCAAAGTTTGTCTTTAATGCAATCAATTAACATGTATTTTTGATGTATTATTGGGTTATAGATTTGGAATGGGTTTTGTTCTTTGTTGCTTCAACGCACAGTTCTTTGCCAAGTGCAATTGAAAATACTTTGTACAGAATAGCTTTGGCACAGTTCGTATAAATATCAGTTTCCTGGAAATTTTAGCAAGCGCTGGACACTAAATCAGGGAAATTGAACGTTCTGGCTTGATTTTCAGTATTTTGGAATATCTGAAATGGAAACTGGAGTTGCTGTGTATGTGATGCCGAGTAGATGGCTATGTGTGGCTACGCTCGGAGGTAGTTTTGAAAAGCTAGTTCACTTATTCCACGGGGGAAATGTCTCGAGCTGTAAAAGAAATGATCATGACTAACAATTGTCTGGTTTCTGTGGCTTATGTGCCAAGCAGCAAGGTCCTGTGGTTTCAATACCAGAGGACTTTTTTTTGTCTTTTTTTTTTTCCCCCCTCCCTCCCCAGAAGTATTTTGTATTTATGTTAAGGAAGCTGAGGATGTTTTTAAAACTACATCTTTCCAAATTCCAGTGAGAGAGATACCTAGTAGGGCATTAGATTATATACATGTTCTTATCATATATGAGAAAAATAGCGTAGAGGTGATGAAAACTGCAGTTGCAAATACGCAGGAGAACTGGTGGTGGTCAAGAAGGCAGCAGTCACCATCCAGAGCAGTGACTGATGAGGGCCACTGAGTATTTATTTGCATGCCATGGTAGGTCGCTGCAGGAGTCCTTTTCATCCTTGGAGTGAGAATAAAGAAATGTTCATCGGAGGTTCCAGCGATCTCCTTGATTGAATTATATTTGAGATTATTCCTGCCGTTCCTAAATTCCCATATTACTTTGCACTGTTTCCTCTTACAGCCAGAAAATAAGGATCTGGCTTGGCATCCTTTACTCAGTTTCCCCCTCCCTTTGCTCCAACTCCCTCCCCGTTAGCACTGCTGATGACTGTTGGTGAAAGGAAACCGAAATCACACCCTGGGCTGACGTTAAGTCAGACTTTGAAGTTAAATGTCAAAAAGCTGTTGTGAGGCTTTCTTCACCCCGAGAGGCAGAAAGGTCCCTAAGAGACAGGAAGGAGCCAGGCAGAGAAGTGATGGCTAAAGGTCTGCCTCATCTGGCTGTACCCTCGACTTTAGGATGCAAACCTCAGCCTGGCAACCTCCCATCCAGGTCCCAAAATTCAACCAGCATTGGATAAAGTTATCTGGAAGCAAAGGGATTGGTAGCATCAGTCATAATGTGAAGGGCATTGTCATTCTCGACTGTATAGAAATGCGTAGCAGAAAGCTTTGCTGATTTTACGTTGTTAGTGTGTATACACTGTACATCTGTGCATCCTGCGCTGTGTGTCCAGCTGTGCTGTACAGGTGTCTGACACACTCCATCTGTGTTGTTCCTCTCAACCCCCAAACCCCATTCTCTTGTGCGAGATGCTGGGAAGTCAGGGCTGGACCCACTGGGCCCCAGGAATGAATCCAGTTTAGCCTCTTTGCACTGTTCCTCTGTGAATATGCAATAACTTGATTTGTTAAGTGTTATTTATTGCACAAAATTACTGCTAAGCCCAGTGCATATGTAATTCGACTAATTGGACAGAGCAAGTGAGGAAGAAAGCTACCAGAGCAGCTCATCAATTTAATCTGCATTTTCTGGAAAGTTTTCCTCCAATTTTCATGGTTTCGTTTTGTAGTAGTCATGGTACTGCGGTATTTGTCCCCATAAACTCTCTGAGGAAGTGGATAAAAATTAGGAATTGATTAGAGAGAAAATGAATCAGAGCTAAAGCATGAGAGTCAAATTTACTGAATTTGGTAAAGAATTAACTTCTGTAGCTTGGAAATACTGCATAACATGCTGGAGAGGAAAATTAAATATTTGTTCTGTTCATTCCTTTTCTGTTCAGTGTTTATGCAGAGACAACACAGTGATTTTCAGAAAGTTTGCAGTGTGAATATCTGAGGGAATGGACTGTGTGACAGCCGTCCGTGGGCTCAGGGCACTGTGCGGTGGCAGCTGCTTGGTTTATCTGGGCTTGTTGTTGCTGGACTCGGTGCGCAGACGTGGCTGAAATGGTCTGGCTCTTCCACACAGCAACTTCCTATGAATGTCTATGACAAATAGAAATTTTTCGAAGCAGATTGAGATGAAAAATGGGTATGGAAAACATTGTCCGTTAATTTTTTCTTTTTTTTTAGTACAGAAAGGATTTTCTGTTCAAAGACTGTGTACAAATACATGAAACTACCTTCCCTGAATAGAATCACAGAACCACAGAATGGTTTGGGTTGGAAGGGACCTTGAAGATCATCTGGTTCCAACCCCCCTGCCATGGGCAGGGACACCTTCCACTAGACCAGGCTGCTCAAAGCCCCATCCAGCCTGGCCTTGGACACTTCCAGGGAGGGGGCATCCACAGCTTCTCTGGGCAACCTCTTCTAGTGCCTCACCACCCTCACCATGAAGAATTTCTTCCTTCTATCTCATCTAAATCGGCCCTCTTTCAGTTTAAAGCTGTTACCCCTTGTCCTATCGCTATGCGCCCTTATATAATTAAAGCGGTTGGTCCCTCTTACTAATAAAACCAGACCAGTCTTCCTTCTCTTCCTCCATTCCATTCCTTTCATAATTTTAATTCACATTCACTGATTTTTTCTTAGGTTTATACTTTTAACTGCTATTAACACAAATAGGCTTATTATAGCACTGAATCTGGTCCTGGACTTTGCATTTTTCTTATGTGCTCCCTTGCTTCCATTTGAAGCCCCATAGCGTGCAGAGTTTAAGCACCATTACTTAGGACTAATTAATCCCATCTTCTTTTTTGAACTCCAAGGTAACCTTGCAAACTCAGACCTTTTCCAGCTAACAATTCTTTTGCAGCACTTGCATGAGAAGCGAAGTTTTGCATCATCCTGCTTGCCCCTGTTGAGTTTTTGGGGCA